GCTGTGATTTGGGCTATAGAGGGCTAAAAGCCTTCTTTGTTCTCACATTTCAGTAAGGAGCCAGTAGCCAGTGTGTTGGATTACTCCTGCCTGCCTGCAACCGCCTTGCTAACAGGACTTTAGGGGGCTTTTCTGAAGAGTTAATTGCATAGGAACAATTGTTCCCCCTCCCTTGGGCTGCACTGTTTGTAAACCCAGCCTATCTAGCAAACTTTCTGTGATGGTTGGAAACCAATAGTGTGGAAGGAGACTCACACACTGTGGTCTTTTTGTTACACACACACACACACACACACACACACACACACACACACACACACACACACACACACACACACACACCATTTTGTTGCTACATAAAGCAACAAGTTTCAAAGACTTCTCCTGTTTGAAGATGCAAGAAGTAGGGCATGGCCCATTCAGATATTTTCCTCTGTGGTCAGAGCAATGACGCTATGTTAGCCACTAGAGTCTACTCCATTATTATAGAGAGAGGAGAGTTGTCAAGTCTTGTTCTTTAAGACTTAAAACTGAGTCTTCAAGAAAAAAAGTTCCTTGGGTTGGACTGATTTATGACATGCCGTGAAAAATGGATTTATGAGCACAATAGCTCTTGATGAGGCAGAGAAAAATGTATTTACTCCATGAATGCACAACAATCGACTGTTAAAAACACAAATTACAAAGGAAATTAAAAATGCAGCCCTCTGGACCCTGTCCTGCTCTCATTCCCTCTTCCCTCCACCACTTTCTTTATCCTATACTTTTTTTTCCCAGAGCCCTGGAGAGCCGTTTCCTTTTCTCACACATGAACATACATTAATGTCACCACCACACAGAGCACACAGCGGGCTTGTTTCTGGTCCTTGCTAGTGCTTTCATGTACAGCTTTAACTCAACTTCAGAGGATAATTTTCTTTTTTTTCTTTTTTTTTTGGGGGGGGGCAATATTTATCTATTTAACTGGGAAAGTTATAGCCTTTCTGGCTCTTGATACACAACACATTTAGAGCAGAAAACATGCAGTATGCAGTTATGTGAATAGACCCTCTGAGCTTCCATCTTTGCTCTTTCACTTCTGACTCACTGTCTGGGCTCACTTCCTCTGAAACAAACCACAAAGGCTTACTGTTAGGAATTGACACCATATTAGGAACTGAGCTCTGTGGAGCTAGCATAGTGGGATGTCAGATAGACTCAGAAAAGACATGAAACAAGCAGCGTTTGCACTGTGCCCTGAAAATCCACCAGACTGATGCTATTTATCCTTTGCATACACAAAACCCAAGGTGCTGCTTCGTAGCCATGTTTGTTTACTGGCACCCTGCTTCAATGAATATGATGTTTTGTTTAGTATGTTGCTACTTTGGGAAGAATGTCGAGAATCATAAACGCAAATGTAATCATGTGAAGCAATCACAAACACAAATCCCAGAGAGCCATTTACATTAACCCAGAAGATAACCTCCTGGTAATCTTGTTTACAATGAACAGCTGAACGACAGATATAAAAGACGTGACAAAAGACAAGACATAGCCAGTTTTAAAAATACCTAGACTCTGAAGGCTTTGCAACTACTTTATACAGTACTTTATACTGCTAATACAGGCTGTATTAGCAGTTACAAGAAATTGTTCTCCTGACCTTTTCCAGAAAGAACATGAGGCCGAAAATACAGGCGCTTAAAGCTTTTCCCGGACGTGTTAAAGGAACCAAAGACAGGCAAAGCATATTCAAACGGTTAATGTCTATCATTTTCTCTCTCCATCAGCTAAAGGTCAAATTTCCGAAAAGAGTTATATCCACAAAACCTACACAGACTTCAAGTAGAAATCTGATGCTGCTCTCTGCTGTAATGTAAACTTCTATTTAAATGGACTATAGTATATTTTCTAGTATCCATTTCTATTCATCATCAACACTGCTGTTTGCTGGAGTCTGGAATAGGCCTGTTGGCTGTGATGAAATTTTAGATTCATGAAATTTCCACAGCAATCTCCATCCCTGGAACACGTCAAGGGATTACCTGTGTGAATTATGTATGTCGAGCAGGAGAGCGAAAGGAAACGGCCAGTAGCTAATGATGAAGTTAACGCTTTAACATGAGTGTTTTGCTTTTATGGTAATTTGTCTCTAATTATCGATTTAACACCATACTTCTGCTGTAAATGCTGCAACTTGTGTCTTGGTCTAATGGCACTTATGTTTACAGCCAACCCTCCGTATTACCATTATTTCCAATGACTTTTCTTGGCTGAATTCTCTTTCTCTTTTTTTAATCCTGACATAGTTTACCAGAGTCTCATCAATAAATATCAGGTTCATCTTGCTTTGTGCGATCTGGGCTCAATTAAGAAGAATGAAATGAGCTTCAAGTTCTGTTTACTAAGGAGCTAAGCCTCTAAATGTTTCATTGCTCATTACAAGTTCCTTGTGATTGTGATCAAATATTTAAATTTATAATACGGTGCTTGAATTGAAAATATACCCCAGAAACCTCAAATCTGAAATATTGTATTGAAAACCCCCCCAAAACTTGTGCATAAGTCAATCTTCATTTGGACTTAATTAATGCCAAAGAGGAAAATATTAAGTGTGAGGAAGTGGTCGGAAGTAAAAAAAAAAAAAAAAAAAAAAAAAAACCTCACAGAGCTACAACAGTTAAAAATAACCTTTGGATTTTTATCAGTTAACATGCAGCAGCGTTTGAAATGTTCCATTGCATTCCTGAACAGCTAGTTGCAGCATGACAAACAATTTTTTGCATAAAAGTGGAAGTTTAAAAAAAAGAAAGAAAAAAAGTATATACAAAATCACTATAAAACTTCAACACTTAGTTTGATTTATACAGATTCCTTCAAACAACTTGCTAAAAAGACAGCAAGACTAGAATGCTACAGAGCTTAAAAGTCTAGTGCTGAAGCAAGGGTGTGCAACATTTGTTTTCCAGAAGCAAATGAAGGGCCATGGAATGGACAGACGACACACATATTTCAGAATTATGGTAAAACGCCATGAAATGTAGTGCACACAGCAGACTATTTTACAGTAGGCTGCTTGTTGGCCTACAAAAGCATGTCTCTCTTTACAAAAGAAAAAAAAAACAAAAAACAAGAGCTTTCTCTTTAAAAATGTTGACTGTTTTGTACAATTTACATAATAGTACTAGTCCTCTTCATCCCATGTGAGACATACGGGTGCACAATTGATTATATTTATGTTTGAGCTGACTGATATTGTCATGCAAAGATTACTTACATAAAACAATCCTCTGAAATGCTGTATAAACAACTAAATGAGCCTACATCCTTTCAACTGTATAATATGCATCACTGCAGAGGTCAAACACAGACTCAAATCAGACTGTTTTACACTCATCAAAAAGTAATATTTGTCTCCTAATTCAAACATTTATATGCTTGCAGTAAGAGGATAGAAGACTTAGGTTAATATTTACCATATATTTAAAAAAGGGATTGTTTTGTACACATACACCAATATTGAATCATTTGACATGGCCATGGCAAGCATTAGTAGCACACCCTTTGTTGGAACCAAGTTAAACAGCAGTACAGACTCATTACAGTCATTCACGTTGAGATTCATTAACACAATGTTGTCTTTTAATTCATTTCTAAGCATTGTTTTGCTTTCTTTCCTGTATGTCGGAGGGATCAAGACACTTCATATTATGCTCAAATATATGTTGCGAGTATAGAGAACTAGCTGTGACTTCCCAGAAGCTGACTGACAGTCTTAAAGGCGCAGGTTCCTTTTTCTGTGTCAAAAAGAATGAAGTGGCTCGAATATCTGTGTTCAGCCCTACAGGAGGCAAAACAGCAAACAGAAATACTTGATTACATACACACACGCGTGTGCACACACACAAGCTTCTACAGCACCCTGAGCACGTGGGCTAGGGATTTGAGGACACACTTTTGTTGGTATTGGTAGACAGTCTATGCGTGCGAGTGTGCTGGACGCAGAACGTGAGCGTGATACCAGCCCCCCTGGGCTCAACATGAGTCATGTGTGTTACATAAGGCATACCGAGAGATAATACAGTTGCCATTAGCAATCCCCTCCTCCCTTGCTCAACGGCACATCTCCCTCGTTTTATACTCCTACTGTTGCTGTTTCTGACTCTCATAAACACACTATTTATTTAAGGAATTAAAGAAGAAAATCAATTAATGCATATAAACATCTGAGAGCCTTAAACCACTCCTTACACAGACACACACACAGACACACACGCTCACACAGTATGCTTTCACTCTGTGGCAAGGACATCTGGCACATTTCACAAGCTGGCTATGTGTGGAAAGTACATGTGAGTGTGGTTGTGTTTTGTGTGTATGTAGGGGGGAGGGGACTGGAAGATTGGAAGAGAAAAGAAAGCTGGCACAAGTGGAGGGGTTCAGCAAGTCCACAGCATCGACATTACACTTCTTTAGAGGAAACAAAGGACATCAGCTTTATAGTTCCTGTATTATGTTACTGTTTACCACGTGCAAGACCAAATTTCCCTCCATTAGACAACAATGAATTCAGTTTTAAAACCTGACACTTCCCAAATAATGTAGGACCTCAGGGTAAAACGCCAAACCTGATCTGAGGGTTGTTGTGGGGCAATAACAAAAGTTGTCTAGCCGTGCCAAAAGCTCTCGGAGGGTTCTAAATGTCATGGTTGATTAAATCCTTATGACAGAAATGTGACCGCATCTCTCTGTTTCACTCGATAGGGGAGGAAAACTGTTGTGACTCATTAGGACAGTGAATGGATTCACAGAGCGTGTGGGACTGAGCTCTTAGCTGCCGCTCTGAACCTGACCAACCCAAGGGTAAAGGAAGACGATTTAATCTAACTGACCTGTGGGAGGAGGGGAAAATAACCTCAATCAATTCACAAGAGACAGGCAAAGATAACAGTTTATTTGATGTGTATCGTGTGAGAGAAAAGGCAGAGAATTCAAAAAGCCATGAGCATGTGACTTACCTGATGCGTGACCATGAGGGAGCAGGATGAAGAGGAGGATAAGCACGGAGGCAGCCAGCCTGTGAGCTGGAGAGGAGGAGGAGGTAGAGGATGAAGAAGAGGAGGACAGGGCTCTCGTCTGAAACGCTACCATTCCATCGCACATCTTTTCCTCCGACAACCAGGGAGAGTCCTCTATGGCTTAACCTGTGCAGGCCACACAGACAGGAAGGGACAGAGAGGTATGAGGAGGGGGGAGGAAGAGCGCGGATTACTATCAACATTCAGCGAGGATTACGTAACCACAAGCAACACAGAGAGACAGGAGGGAATTAAGAGATAGCCACAGTGCACGGGCTGGAAGACAGAGTCACAAAGTGAAGCCCTGACCTGCATCTTATTAAACAGCAGCTGAATTCCTAATATTAATAACTGCATGAATGACTCTACGTCCATTTCCTCCTCATTTGTTTGATCTATTATTAGGATCCTCCAGCATTAGCCAGTGTTCCTCTTATCTCCACTCGATCCCTAATCTTGGCTCTGCCACAGCATCTAACCAAATAAACCAGACGTTAAAGTCCGTTGTAGATGATGTAACGAGATCACTCCTGCTGGTGAGTTTAGCAACACTGGCGGCTGGGCATGGTGGAGACAGAGGCTAAAAATGTGTGTGAGAAAATTTGGGCGTGATTACAACTGCAACTTTTGCAAAGACCCAGATGACTGGAAAAAAGGAGTTTGTCTAAGAAAACCATCATCATGAAAGAAGTTTAATTTCCAGAAGATCATGTCTCACACTCTACTGTGCTGTTAAAGCAGTCAGCATCAGCAAAAATTCAGACATTTGTAAGGATATTATTTATATTTCATAATATTATTTATACATCTAAATAAACAGTGTCCTTAAAGACTTTTTCATGCTATGTGTGCACCTCAACTGTGATTCTATTCCATATTGTTGGTTGTTTACTACAATGGAGTGTGATGGAAAATGTATGCAAAGATAATGGCAATAGGTGATGCATTCAGAAATGATTCCCATATTTTGTTTACCATATACTGTAAATTGGCAATGATATCAGTCTGTTCAGATTCCTTTTCCCTATACTACTTGGAGACGGAAAATAATACTTACGGATTATTTTTCTTGTATAAAAAAGTTTAATCAAAATCAGTGCTGTAATTTTTTTTTTTTTAAAGGTAAGATGCAAATGCAAAAATCAGACACCTAGTTCTCTGGGCAGACAGCAAACAAAAGCATGAAGGACATCAAGAGTTACTGTGAGACATCTTTAAACAGTAATATGCAAATAGAGAGCAACAACCTCATCCTCTCTCCACCAATATCTCTCCATGATACCAACTTAAATAACTTCCTAAAAGCATTTGTTGGTTGATTGAGGTGATACGATGTGACACACCATTACGTAAATGAGATGCAGGTGCACATAGAGCTGTTTATGTTGCATCAGAGGGATAAGGATGAAGTAGAAGTGGCTCTGTTCTGTGGGAAACTAGATGGCCTGCAGGCAGAATATTCTCAAGAGGAGGCAGAGGCCCATTACATTTCCACAAGGCTGCGAAGCTAATGCCTACAGTAATGGCATGGCTGCACTTAGAGAGCCGCAAATTTAATTGCTGATCTGCTGGATGGCCACTGGCACTGACACAGCAGATGATCTGGACTGTGTAGAGGAAAGTAACTGTAAGCACATATACACTATATACTGGAATCTTATTACGTTTTTCAGGTACAGGATGCAGATATGACAGTTTAATTAAAATATAGCTGCTTCCTCATTGCTTCACTAAGAAGTCAATGAGAGTCATGTGTTTTTTAGTGTGCTTTCTGCATCAAGGTGATTAGATAGGTTCTAATTAACTTCAACATTGTATTTCTAATCACCTGTGTTTTAGCATTTGAGTGCTCTGGACAGGGCTATATTCCAAATTTCCAACACAAACAAGGGAAAGCAGCCCACCCACTGCCTGCCATCTTTCTGATGCCCCTAAGAGTGGGATGAAGAGTCATACCTGACTGTGGCGCAAGCCAGTGGGAAACAGTGACGTAAGTCAATTTTGGCAGGACAGTCTGGGCACTGCATTGAGCCAAAGGGCAGCTAGTCAAAAGCACATGCAATGGATCTGTGCCAGCCATTTGATCCATAGATGCTTTCTCATTTGTCCATGCTGGCTGCTATTGTCGGGTTATATAGAGGCCCTTCATTATCTTTTTGACAGATGAATGTCAATTTTAGAAGTATCAAGGACAAACTGCACAAAGGAAAGACAAAAAACTGCAATTGTTGAGGTTTAAATAACTGCTTAGGGCTGCATTTAAAATGCAGGACTGACCTCCTGAAAAAGCTGAGGGCATAGTATTGACCAGCCAGAATGTCTACAAAGTGAAAACTAAAGCAGAATTAGCTTAATTGCTTTCACACAAAAGAGTCTGAAAAAGGAGAAAGTCATTAAGTCTGTTCTAGGGTATCCTAAAAAGCACAGCTTCCAATTAGCTATAACAAGACATTTTCACAACATGAAAGGAATTTTTGCACATCTTCTAATGCACTGACTTTATGTTCACATATTTAATTGATTAATAACAGAGCAGGGAGGTTGACAGCTAAAAGCACAGGAATACTTTAAGTCTGGATGTCAACCTGCCTTGCAAATGTGTGGGTTTCCTGTCAAATGCAGCAAAAGATGTTAAGCTTGAAACATCACATTAAAGAATGTGCTTCTATTTTCAACCTCAAGTTTCCTGAAACACCTTTTTTTTAATCAACCTGCACACAAAAACACTTCCTGCCAGAAGCTGCACAGTACTAACAAAGCAATTGAGACCGAAACTAAAGTACAGTGTCTTTAAAGATAGCAAATATTAGAAATCAAACCAATATAAATGGTTGACTTCTAAATGAATTATTAGAGTATAACTACTTTACATTATACTAAATATCACTATCAAATTATATATACCAACAAAAAGGCAACTAAAAGGAAAAAACTGTGTGAGTTTCAGAAAACATACCAACCCCCCATAAAAATGAGATACAGTAAACAATACTGTAACAGCATTCTGAGGCAGGAGGACAGGAAGTGGCAAGAACAGCCAACCAACAAAACTGGTACGGGCAGTTCTAGCTTGCCATTAAGTTAATAGACAAGGAAGTCTATTGACCAAAATTTTCAATCTGCACCACAAAGTCTGATTAAGAAGACTAAGGATGCAATGATCCAATATTGTAATCAGATATTGACTTGTAAAGCTGGATCGCATATCAGTGACAACTTCCCAGTCTCTGCACCAATCTATTCAAATCTTTTAACTGTTGTTCTATGTTTATGTCGCCATGCGACAGCAGCAGAGCTGAAAAGAGCTAACAGCAAAAGAGCAAGCGATTTGGATGTATTTCATGCCTGCTAAACTGACAGCTTTTCTTTATACGTTTTTCATTACGTGCAAACTGTGGTCAAATGAAAAGCTCAGACAACGAAATGTTTTTTGTCTTCTCTCCCTTTTAGTTTTGCTCTCGTTATCTGTGCTGGGAGAGACATTATATAAAGTAGAAACTAGAAGGATGTTGTTTCGGTAAGCTTTTATTACACTTACAGTAACACACTGTGAACTAGATTAATATTTCACTTCAGCTATCTCTTGTCAGTTCCGCATTGTGTGTGTACAAAGAGGCAAAAAAAAAAAGACGAAAAAAAAAAGCCCTAAATAAACTAGAAACTACCATGACTTTCTCTTTAATTGAGTGGAAATGAGATGTTGGCAAAAAAGATATATAAAATTGTAACTTCAGTTGTGTTTGGTCTGTTCTTTTATGCATTACTTTACTAAAAAAAAATACCAATTAGGTAAGTTTATATTCTTCAACAAATTCATCCATCAAGTTTTATTTTACAACATTAGAAAATAAAATCTTTGTGTAAAGCCCAATAAAAGGATGATTCCCAGTCTCTTTTTCAGTGTGAGGAAAAAAAGTGTGGTAATTTAACACTGGACCTGGATAAGTACTCTGTCTTAGCAGATACCCAAAACCAAGGAATGACTATCAAATGGAAAAAACTGGATCATGACATCCCTCAAGTTTAAAACTGCACTTCATAAGTCATTTGGACATTTCTTGGTCGTTTATCTCATTCCATGTGTTACATCTGTAGGCCATACTTAGGTCTAGCACATTAAAGAAGTTGAGGTTTTAAAAACATAAACACATTTTCAGAGTGTGTAGTCTTGAACTTTGGGGGAAAAAACTATGTAACTCTCCACTTGAGACACCAATGAGCCAACCAGGCAGTCAGCAGACTGCTACTGCAGTTTTTCAGCTGCCCGAGGCTCCTGGAATGCAAAGGGAGCCAAGGAGAGAGCAGCAGCACAGGCATGTGTCCGGGAACAGAGAGGACTCAGTGCGCCAAAGAAACAGCCCAGAGGAGATTTCCATCCGATAGCCCTCCATGCTACTGCTGCTGCTGGTAGAGCCTACGTGCGCCTATAAAGGGAGCCCAGAAACGGGGCTCTGCATGGCAGAAGAGAAAGGACCCTTTGTTATTAAGTACGATAGTGTTAAACCCCACAGTGCCTCAGCATCCCTCTGTACTGCCGCAAGGAAAGAGAGAGAGAGACAGAGAAAGATGAAGGAGAGAAAGAAGAAGAAACAAGGGGAAAAGGGGGAAATATGATAGTGGTGAAAGATGAGGAAAGGATTTAAGGCAAAAGCAGTACTCTCATTTATACTCACAATGTGTTTTCTCTAGGTATGTTGTCAAAACAGAAAACGCCCCCAAACTCAGGGCCCGGAGTTATAAAAATTTCACTGCAGTTACATAATGTCCTTTAAACTAAGAACCATTAAAGCTTCACATTGTATATCCATTATTCTGCGGATGCTAGGGCTTGTACAATGCATGAAAACAAAACTAGTCAGTCTAAACAATGGGGGAAATAAATAAATAAATTAAGAACATGAGTGAGTTCAGCAAAGAAAAACAGCCTTTCATCTCACGCTTTAATTCTGTTGAAAAAACCTATCCAACAAAAATAAGCTCTAGGAATTAGACGCAAACATTTGGGTATCGCTGAACAACAACTAGCAGGTGTGACAGCATTATGAAATATTGGGAAATTTTGGGGCAATAAGCCCATCATATTAGTGAATGTATTGAAGTCTTTTCACATAAAACATGAGCTGACAGCAGATGGAAGCTGTAAGCTGGATTTCTAAAGAGCAAACCGAGCGAGGGATGGGCACAAACAACTTACTGTTGAACCTTGACCTGCTCAATAAAGTAGCCAGTAGGCAGGAAAGTGCTATTCACAGCATGTTGTACACATGTTAGAGTAAATCATTTAAATAGCGTGACAAAAATGTTTTGCACATAACTGAAACATATTAATAAAAAACAAAATCTTTTGAAAAAGACAAAAACTTTGGTACATGTTTAAAAAGTCTGGGATGTCTACATGATATGAAATACTGTATTTATATTAAAACAAAAATAGAAAGGTAAAAATGATTACAAAATATGATAACTGGGCTGAAAATCGGAGCTTAAATAAAGGGCTACTGTATACGGTATATGTTATGAAACGACCAAAACAATAAGAAGGTGGCGCACAGAGATCGGATCAAAACATTTCTCAGCCTTGTATTATCAAGAGACCACAATAGGAAATTGAACCTGAATACTTCCCAGACTCTGATCTTCGGTATAAACACAACAGTTCACATCTGAACTTCCCTGCTCTCCGCTTTGGGTCAAGTGTCACATCTTACCCTTTCCCTAGTAACAGGAAACGACTCAAAAAAAAGTTTTACTGGAACAAAAGCGTGGGGTGGGAAACTGCACTGCTGGGAATGAGAGACCCCCCCAGCGCAAACACACACACACACACACACACACACACACACACACACACAAATAATAGCTCAAAGATGCATCTCTGCAACTGTATCAAATGTGGTCAGCTGGCTCTTTTTAGCAGTCCTACGGCAGTCACACGCTTCAACACGTGCAACTGTACAGTGAGGTATTTAAACAAAAGAGTGTGGTGGGCTGCCAATGCCACGGGAACAAAAAAAAAAGCTGAATAAAAAGAGAAAACAACACGATTCAAACAAGCAATACACCTGGATGTACCCGGTTCTTCACCGACTCAGCCTCTTATGTATGCACCATAAACAACACAATACAAGCAGACTTCTTGCTTCCTCGTTCCTTTTTTTGTTCACATGACCAGCTGTAACGCTGTTACAGTGGGTAACTGTTAGACGGGACTCACCAGCTACCACAGACAATTTGCTCTTTGTTTCACTGTATCTGACAAGTCAAGGTGAGATATTTCCACAGATTCAAACTTATATCCAAGAGACCGTCAGAGAAAAAAAAAATATGACATTTAGCCAAACAGTAACTACGTTTATCATACGCTAGCTTAGTTTAATAATCGACCTCGTTTGTTAAACAAAAATAAAAGGAAAAAAATCAAACTAATTACTTACACTAACGAGTTAGTAAGCGTGACCCTAAGATTGGTTACGCTTTTCCTGGTTATTATTATAATTATTATGTAATGACCAAATACTGACGGGCAGAGAGAGACAGAAAGAAAGACAGAGACAGAAGAGAGAAGACCAAGAGCTCTCGTGTGGCCTGTGTGTGCTTAGCTGGCGAAAATACGTTCAAGACTCACCAACGTAAAGGTTACTAGCGGCGGCGAGCCCTCCTCTCTTACATTCACATTCGAGGCATTAAGGACTGTATAAATGGAGACGCTCGGACCTGAGTATAGAAATATAAAAATACGACGTCCTCGGCGTCAAGTTCCGTCAGTGCCGTTCCGCTCGTCCCCTGTCCTCGACTCAGCCAGCTCTTTATTTTAGGTGAGCGGAAACACTCGCTGTGAGAACTCTACGGGGCTGACTCGCTCTCGCGCGGTGTCCATGGCTACCTCTGTAAAAAAGGGCGGATCCATGGGTTGTCAAGTCACTGGGCCGGATTTCAAAATAAAAGCGCAGAGTTTTGGTGAAGGGAAACAAAAGAATCACTAAAAAAAGAATCAAACAAAAGGACAATAAAAATGCAAATGCTTAACTGTATGCTACAGTTGCATGTAGTTTTTATAAAGTCGTATGAGTATGCTCGCCAACAGATTTGGGTTAATAAATATCTGATATCCCGAGATATCAGCTTCAAGAGATAAAAAGCCAAATATTATCAGAGAATTAGTAATAATCGAAAATAATATTCACCTGTTTATCAGTTATGCTTTATGAGATGACAGTAAAATACTGTAAAAATGACTGTAAAGATTTTTCATTTTGTTAACATTCTACGATATATCTAGTATGTAATATCTAATTTTATAACATATTATTTGTCAATTAACATTTAACGTTATGACATGAATTAGGGAAGAATGGAATAATGTGATGTTCCTGTGTTTCCACAGAATCTAAAATGCTAAGAATAGAAAAGAATAGTCCAGAGGGGTTGTGCACATGTTAATAGATTCTTTATTTGTGTGCACCTTGCATTTTTCATGTTTGAATTATTATACTTTTTTCATGCATAGGTGTTTTTTTAATTTATTTGTTAATTTAAAGGTTTGCTCTTTCTGATGATCTCTTTAACAGAATGCTAGTGCCTGTCTGTCTCCCCTTTACTGGGGTTAATATACTCTATATACATCAACCATGCTTTAAAAACAAATACATTCTGGACATTACCATTATATCACAGGTAAAGTGTGAGATTATGTAAATGTATTAGTATTTGAATTATCTCCCAGGGTTTATATCTAATGAATAATTTTCCCGATGATTTCTGCAGAGGCAACCAACAATGCCTTGGTTGGTGCCTCTGTGAGTGTGTCATTAGATCTTTTGATGTGATTTTTGTTTATTGGTTTTGATGCTACAGCGAAAGAACATCCCAGTGTGTATTAACTCAGATGGCTGGTTCTTAAACTGAGGAGGCAATGCATAGACACATGATCTAAATGTCTGCCTTTATGCAATATGCCTGTAGAAGAAGGCAGGAAACGAGTGGGAAAATTTTTGCTTTCATTCGCTTAGAGGAGAAATGTGAGATATTTGAGATTTCTCATTATAGCTAAATGCAGTTTACACATCACTGTAACGTCACTCAGCTCTGCAGATCATGAAGTTTTACTGCAAATATGGATGAAAGAGGGTAGTCACTCCTTTTAAACCCCTTATGTTACTACAGCTTACCATAAGAAAGTTGATCAATTCTTTGCAAACATCACTGCCTATAGATCAAAAAACATTTAACCAATTCTGTCATCCACTTTTAAAGAATGGTTGTCCTAAAGAGAAAAATTTTTTTTAATACCGATAAAGAAGTCATGGAAACCAAATAAGGTCTCACTGAGTGATTTTAAATTGGATGATATTAACCAGAATTATCTTTAATGTGAGTTTAATTTCATCCCTATCATACAGTAATCTCTCTTATCCTCTTAAATCCATTCGAGTCACGTGAATAATTTCCTTTTAAATCCCTCAGAGTCCAATAAGAGATCACTAATTTTGACGACTGTTTAATGTTTTGCCAACGTGTTGTGTCTGCATAGCTTTTAAAACACATTTTTAAAATTTACCCTTTCCAGTTTTTCTTAAATTTGGATGCCGTCCTAATCCCTACTCACACCTTTGTCATGTTTTAATTTCCCCTCTTTCCATAAAAGTTTCCTTTCTCTTCTCCTCTCCCCGAGAAGAAATCTCCTTGATAACAGAGGCCCAAGTAAAGGTCAGCCAGTTATAGGATTATGCTAAGACTCCAGTTTGACACCTAGACATGCCACTGAGTCTTGTAAAGAAACTCATACCCAGGAGAGAAACAAGAAGCAGGACACCCACTGTCCAACCGCTTTGTTCATAAAAATTTAAATGTATGCAATAAGGTGGTTTAACAACTAATATCTCTCGCTCTACATTGAAATACATTAGATAAGTAAATGAGATATGACTTATCATGTTCTGTTCTGGATTTGTGTTCACACAGATAAGACTGGGGCATGCTCTGGATGCAAATGTCTATTCTGTGTTAAGATATATGTATATATAACAAGTGCTAGTCTTGTAGACCGCAGGCTATATGTAAAGTAGCCTGTATTATCTTTGAGTGAGACTGTGCATTAGAAGTCTGTACTAGTGCTGACATCTAGCGGCTCCATCGACTACTTACCTACATGTATAGGTATTTTACTTCATGATATTTGCTGAAAAAAAAGAAAGATCTCCGTATAAATTACTTTATCATTAGAAATGTGTTAATTTACACTCATTTACATTCTAGTGTTGTGATAAAAATGGATGATTACTGGTATTTAGTTATATAAATGAGTTGCCCCATAATCTGTCAAGGACATCTCAGACATATTTCTCATGAATGATTTTAAATTGTAAGTATGTATCCTTTATTTATCCATATAAAAACAGGAACTGACATTAAAACTGTATGTGAATGTGAACGTCTATGTGAATGAATGTGCAGCAGAAATTGCGACAAATTTAACATAAATTTTCTGTAAGGATATTTTAAGTAGCCAAAAATGATTGAACTGATTATACTGTAGAAAACTGAGTAGGTACAATAACGTAGACTCAGGAACACACTTGCAAAACAGGCAATTTTGTTATTTTTATATAAACCCTTTGTAATTCCAGTTGTCTACAGGTTACCAACATAAGCAAATACATTAGGCATAAAATCGTATAGAAACATTAGAAATCACGCTATAGCAGACGATCGCTTTTTGACACATCACCTGGTTCAAAATATTATGGACGGTTACATTGCGGATGGTGGGGGCGGGGGTGATAACAATTCTTCTCAAACTGTCATGAAATAAAAATGTCTCTCACTTTTGACATTTTGAAAGGCATATTTAGAAAACCAGGGTAAAAAAAGAGTGTTACACTAACGCAATACAAACACGACAAAGCTACAGGTGATCTTAAATCGTACCCCCGACGCCCCCGTTTTTATAAGTGGCTGCTTCCGCTTGCTTTCTACTTGGACAGTGCTACTTCCGTTGTTAGCGTCGATTTTGTACATTAAAGCTTCAAGGCTGGACAGGTACGGTCAGACTGGAGAGGGGGTGTGTAAATTCTGATATTGATATAAACATTTTGACCTGGTTTTAGCCTGTTGGTTGCCCACAACTATAGCTAGCCCAAACAATGAAAGCAACTCAAGTTAGCTTGTTTGTGTTTTCTACCCTTGTTGTTTTGTCAACCGGAGAAAACGAAAGAATTTCTTGACCTTTCACCCAGTTAAACATTACTGTGTGACGCCGTGTGGCTGCTCAATCTCAGCGTGACACCAGCCTTTCCCATCAACCGATGACCATCAAACCATTTCTTACTTAAACACTTTAGCTAGAAAGTGTGACAGACCATAGTGTCCCCTGATAACTGTGCCAATGTGACTCGTCACTCTCTTATTGTGCGTAAAAGGTTAATTTTAATAACAACGTGTACATTATAGTGTTCATTTGGTTACTTTCACTTAAATTTATCCATTTTATTCTTAAATTTCATTTGTGGTCTTGTGTCAATGCCGTCATTCTAATGTACAAGGCTCACCAACAAGGCTGGAGAGAACACATCCTACAATACCCCACGTATTCTCCAAATTCTATACCGGGTATATTGCTATTATATATATAAATAATATATGTCTGTTCTTTCTGTGGCTATACACGTTACACTGATCGGAAACTCCACGCATACTACTTTACTATATATATATATATATATATATATATATATATATGAAAAGCAAGTGTACAGATAATCATAAGTTTAGTAGTTATATCTACATTTGTTGTTTTTCCAATTTAACTTCACAGCTTCGGTCCTTGTTTGGTTGTTGTAGTCAATCTCCAAAATAAATTATCTAAACTGGAGCAATGGCTATGTTCAAGGCCTCTTGCTGAATACAGACTGTCTTTTATCTTCCACCTAGGCACCATGCATAGGCTGCTTAAATGCAAAATGAGATTTGTGATATATCTCATGAGCCCAGTTAGGTTTCGTATTGTGGTATAAATAGTTTTTCTTAAAATTTATCTCTTTTTTTTTGTTGTTGTTTTGTGAATATTTCTATTGTAAATGATGATGTTAACCCATAAAAGTGATTTCTAGGTGAAAGCAATTACATTGACTTAATTCTCAATTGCCTTGACAGGTGCAGTGACACGATTCCAGGCTACAGTGAAACAACTGTTCGCATCTTAAACAGCTGAAATGGCGCAATCACAGATCCGCTTGAAAATTCTCCCTAGTGTTCGCAGCTTCTTTGACAAGATGGTGCGGGTAAAAGTAGAGGGACTCACTCCTCACAAACCAGTGGAGCTGAGGTCCAGACTGGTTGATGACAAAGGTGTCACTTTCAAAGCCTCTGCCCTGTACAAAGCAGATGAAAGTGGTCAGGTGGATGTCTTCCGCACACCCTCTCTGGGTGGTAGTTACACCGGCGTGGAGCCCATGGGTTTGTTTTGGGCCCTGGCACCAGACGCACCACACACTAAACTCATGAAGAAGGATGTGCTCAGCCCAACACGCGTGGCCCTGGAGGCTCTTAATGGAGAGACTGGCAAGGTTTTAGCATCTGAATCTAATGAGAGAGGATACATGATTGAGGGGATGAAGAGAATACCTTTACAAGAGGGCAGAATACGAGGTGTCCTCTTCATACCACCAGGTTAGTAGGATTTTAACGAATTATTCACAAAATTAGGTATCAAGTCAACATTAACTGTCCCCCCCTTTAGGAAATGGCCCATTCCCAGGAATTGTAGATTTGTACACTTTTGGTGGAGGTCTCACTGAACCCAGATCCAGCCTCTTGGCAAGTAAAGGCTTTGTTGTTCTGGCACTGGCTTATTTTCGTTACCAGGATCTCCCAAAAAACCCTAAAAACCTGGATTTGGAATATTTCGAGGAGGCGGTCACATATCTGAGGAAGCGGCCAGAGGTTAGTATTGAAGAGCAAACAGCAAAGGACATATTTATTAGAAGTAATTCAATGTTATGCATCTTATGTATGTGAAGGTTGTGAAAATATTGCTCAAACATCTGCATTTGAAATGGATTTGAGATAGAGGCCTATATTTGTGTCTAGTGTGTCAATGTTGCCACCTGCTGGCTTTTCTTCTGATATCACCATCATGGATTAATGATGAAACCTCTATATTTCTTAAATCTTAAAATATTACAAGCTTTTTGTCATTTTTTTCTTTAGTTGAAATAGTTAATTGGCCATAAGTAATTTTGAATTTGGAGGTTTACAGCAAGGTGTAATGATCTGTGGTAGTAATAGTTCGATAACATTACAAAATGTTTAGGGGTTCAAAAGTAATTGAGTAGAAACACACAAAGACAAGCAAAATTTAGTTTTATATTTTAAAGAAAGTATTTGTCAGACATGGAAACAACAGCAAACACTTTGTTAGTCCAAGTGAGCATACAACACCCTGTTCTCATATTTCTTGAACTAAAATTAGTCGATTGACTTGTGCAGCTAAGGATAATCTCCCTCTTTGGTCACATTGGATATATATAACAAGGTTGTTGTCCTCTACTGCACAATTAAATGTCTCTCAGTCATTGCAGAACTCCCAGCATCTTGAACGGATAACAATATGAGCTGCTCCCTTTTCTCCTCTTTTCGCATATCTTTCTTTTTTGAAGTAAACCCATTCTAACTGAAGCTGAGCCTAAAGAACAAAGAAATGCTAGTGTCCATCAATTTGTGATCTGCACTGTATTAGCAGATGTGCACCTGTTACTTTAAAAAATTTAACTAACATAAAACCTCTTGATTCAGGTGAAAGGTCCTGGGATTGGCGTCATATCAATCTCTCATAGTGGTGCCTTGGCTTTGAGCATGTCATCTTTTCTCTCTGGGATCTCAGCGACTGTCTGTATTAATGCCTGTAATGCAAACACTGTGCTTCCTTTACACTACAAAGACATTGTATTCCCGCCACTGCCCCCTGTCATGGAGAATGTGAAATTCACAGAGTCTGGGCTTGTAGATATACGTGACGCCTTACCAGACCCCACCAAGGGCAAGAACAGGGCGTCTTTGATTCCAATTGAACGAGCCACCTGCCATTTCCTGTTTGCTGCTTCTGAAGATGACCACAACTGGAACAGCACGTTTTTTGCCAGTCAGGCTGCTGAAATTTTGAAAAAGCATGGCAAAAAATCCTACGAGGTTGTTACTTATCCAAAAGCTGGTCACTTTCTGGATGTGCCGTACATGCCTTATTGTTCATCTGGCTTTCATCCAGCTGTAGGGAGTGTTGTGGTGTTTGGTGGGGAGCCAAAAGCCCACTCTGAGGCTCAGCTGGACCTGTGGGAAAGAGTCCAGGAGTTCTTCAAGACCCACTTGGGCAACAAGAGCACTTGATACTGTATTAATCCATCGAGCATCTCTGAATGGTTGTTCTTAGAAATGGTTACCAGTGCCTGTATTTTCTAATTAGTAAAATTGTGAGAACTCCATTAACCGTCTAGTGTTCTGCATCGGAAACACTCCAACAACCGTTTGGTTTCAGATGAGTTTTTTTTCAGTAGGACATGGGCTTGTAGCAAAAAATCGTCTATAGTAAAAAGAATCTGAGATTTTGACTTGTCATGGGAAGGAAATGTAAATGGACTGCACATAAAGAGCACTCCAGAGTTTTGTTGGGGTAGGGTGTTGAATTTAGTGTCATCCCCACTTCTTGATGCAGACTCAAGGTCTGAGTAGTGGTCTACGTCATAAGCCACAGCCATCAGCTCAAACTTGATTGTTTTGTTGAAGTATCTCACAAAAGTAGAAGACACTTGGACACTTCCTGCAGTTACTTGACAAAATGTCTACCTATAAAATAACCTACATATGATAACTTCTCCACTGACATGATGTTGGTACAGAACCAGTTCTGCTTTTGTGCTATTTGTAACTTATTTAGTGTTTAATGTTGTATAGCAAAAAAAAAAAAAAAAAAAAGGGGGGGGGGTAAATATGTGGTGCTGGTGCCAGAGTTTTGGGCATCTGAACTGGTGAAAATGCATGGAGCAGTTTGTAACTTCAGCTTGAGTGGAAAACTAACAAAACAGTAGCATGTTATGGAATCACCTACTGAAAACCAATAGTTAAGCTTCTTTAATCTTGTTTTATTTTTGTGGTACTTATCTAGCAGTATTTGATATTTAAATTGTATAGGGACTGGAATAATTCTGTATTTTAAGAAAGCTGAAAAAAGTGATCTTTGTAAAAAATATTTGATGTTTGCCCAAAAAATGAAAGAAATTTGTTGTCATGTACAATATAACCTATAATAAAGCAAAAGCAAATATGTAAATCCTATTATAAAACCTGCTGTGCTGGTTTTATTTCCATGCCTGTTTCAAGAATGTGAATATACTGTGATGATCTGAGCAAGGATCCGAGAGTACACTGCACCAGAGAAGGGAGTCTTATTCGAAAGCTGGGAAAAACATACAGACATGTCCCTCACTGATATTTTGATCACATGAAAATGTGGATTTTCTGTGTAATAGGATGTCATCTTATTTAACAAACAGGAAAACATGGGAGTGTATTTAAATGGCACCAATTCTACATTTAAACATTTTTTTCATGGTATTTTCCAAAAGAAAGTCCATTATTAATTAAAATGCTAAGTGATCCATGAAATGTCCTCTGGTACGGGGTTATTTTTGGTATTTTCAGCAACCATGAGAGGAATGTCGCAAGCTCCCATGAGAGTACAGACTGACCAAGACAACAGGGTCAGTGTGAAAAGAGAGTGAAGTTAAACCTACCCTTGTTTTTGAATTTTAATCCTTAATCCCCCCTTTTGACCAATATAAAGGTTTATAAAGTGCTTAGAAACACGACTTTTAAGGTGAAGTAATGTAATGAAGTATCTCCTTTTTTTTGTGATTTAACAGCCTATTAGGAATGTAGCCATCCGTTACTTTTATTTCTCGGTATCAGCCAGGCTCCTCTTCCTCCATGCTGCTTGTCATTCATAAGATTAAGTGGAGTTTCTCGGTGCTACATGAAGAGGAGGGCTCTCCTCTTCAGTCTTGCACCTCACGTTGTTAAATATTCAGTTGCAGGCTCCCCGCACCATCCAGTCTACCAATAAACGGCCTCTGACAGTGCGATTGGCAGAGGCAGCAGGAGTAACAGTCTGTCAGCCACACATATTTTTATTTATTTATTTTTTTCTGGACGGCGAGGGGTGATGGTGCAGTGTTCTCGGTGCTGCAGGCGTCGTTCCCGGAATGGACACTTCGCAAACCGGTGTGGTTTTAGGTGCACTGGGTGTCAGATAGTCCAGCATCCATCCAGCCACACTGCGCACGGATTTCAGTGACCGATTTCTGCCGTGCATCCGCATTACTGGGGAAATATGGGGCATACAGCGTAGGCTTTCTATCTCCCCGTGCTTTGATACAGACTGAGATTATTTTAACATGTATTTTCCTCCCTAATTTATCAGACATAATTACTGACAAAAGACCATCTCATTGCTGGCAGAGGAACGCATTTCCTGCCTGTGTCCGCGTTAAATCTTCATGGAGATCTCCCGTGCAACATAAGATGTGATATGTCGATTATCCCCCTTTTTACTATAAAAAAAGCAGGTCAGAAATGCCCCTTTACTCTTGGCTGTTGACTCTTTGTGAGCTTTCTTGAAAAACAAACAAACAAACATCAACAACAAAAAGGCATATTTAGGATCTCGGCGTGAATCGACATGGATAGTGCAGGGAGCCGGGCAGCGATGGTGGGGGACGGTGCAGTCAATTTCACAGCAGCCCACCTCTGGCTGGATCTACTGAACGCCTCGAGCCCATCGACCCGGTGGGACAGCAGCCCGCCTGCCGAGGGCACCGGGCTGGACGAGCGGCAGCGACTCGTGCGAGAGCAAGCCTACCGGGACTTCACCACCACCGTTCAGGTTTTCATCCTCCTAGGTTCGCTGATCGGTAAGTCCGCTCAGTACTCCCACACATTCAATGCAAACTCAGTAGGGAATCATAAACATATTAAAAACCCAGCCTCGTTTATGTATTTACTTATTCATTTCTGCTAAATTTCGATTAAACAGCTGCACAGTTTTTGAACTACAGGGCACTGCTTTTCAAATACAATTGAAAACAGTGAGACTCTAAGATTTGTGTTAGGGGATCTTCCTGTGCGGACAACCTGTGTCCCAGTAGAATGTATTTGAAATATCTGAGACTTTTTCCAGCGTTTATCAGTCAGCCAATCAATCATCTTCTGGTCAGTATAGTAAACTAGTATCTTCTACTAAAAGAAAAGTCAAACGACGACTAAAAAGTAAAGGATAAGAAAAGCATGACAGAAATGAGTGCGTAGGCCAGTTTATTAGAAACAAACAAAACTGCTACAAGGGTACATTATTATTATTTTTAATCTAATATCCCGTTAAAACCACCAGCAGCTGCCAAATGTAAACAACCCACAGCCCATGTCACCTGCTTACTCTGCTTACCTCTCAGCCCCCTGCAGTCATGTATAAGTTTGATCAAGGTGCTAAAACCATTCAAATAACACTAAACCAGTCACACACATAACTCCTGATTTTCTGGTTTGACGTGGATGCATTCCATTTAAAATAAGCATAAATACTTTGGCAAAATTTGCTGTATATTTAAGTCAGCAAAGAAGATTTTTATTGTTTTTTTCCACCAGAAAACTGATAAATAGTAGCAGTAACTTACATGTTTTAAACTTCCTTAGAGTTGAATATGTGTTGACTAGACATCAGTGATGATGATGGTGGTATAAGTGTGGAAGGAGCTGTGTAGAATGATCTACTGCTCTTGCACACTCCTGGCTTTGACATCCCGTCTCCATCATATAGATCGCCAGAAGCATAATTAACCCGCTTCTAATGATTGCTACAAATAAATGTGTTATTTGTCACAAATGTTTTTGTGTTGCCCTCTCTGCCCTGCTACAGAAACACACACAGCCTTAGTGTTGTATGGAAACATATGGGCTCAGTGAGAAGCAGGAGCACAGCTCACCATGATGAAATATTGTGCAACTGATACAAAATGGACAAAAAAAACACGTCCAAATGACTTGCTTTGATCCAGTGCCACCTCCTGCTGTTCAGTGCAATGTGCAGAGTCAGAGAAGCGTGCCCTGACTAGCTGTAAAAATTGCCCTCTGGCAGCATGGCTCAAAATGCCTTTTTGTTTCTCTCTGCATGCTCTACGTGTCGCAGGGAATACATACACCAATGAACCAAACCCACTTCCAGGAAGGTGAATAGCATAAATTCTCTAACGTCAATACAACAGGGCACCTTTGTGTGGTCACTAAGATTCTTGGAGACATATTAATGACAGCTATAAGACAATGAGTGATAAAATACAAACAGACTGTGTGCATAATGAAATAATCACAATAATCACAGTAATAATTATTACTGGAAAAAATAAAGATAATTAGCATCAGATATCTGAATCAATTTCAGGACCAGTCAGAAACTGAACATTTCATCAGTGGTCACCTTTAAATACATGCATTATATTACCTGCAGCATAAAATGATGAGTGTTAAAATGATGACGGTTCCACGGGGCTGTCTTTTGAAGTTGAGTCCCCTAAAAAAGTGTCTGTGGTCAATTCTCAAGCTACTTTTAATGATTTCAAAAAAGGCTTTGATTGTATGATAAAAGCCTAGCTGCATCATATTTATATTCAGACATCACTTATTATCACAGATGAGCAGGATATGCTGGTTCTATTATGTAGGCACTTTGTTGTCTCTATGGGGGTTTTAGTGCCCAAAAGAAAACCTGCATCACTGGCTGAAAGGGGAAAAAAAACATGCAATTTTTATGGGGAGATGTCTGTTTTGGAGGCATCTGTGTCATTAACAACTTGTGCACATCAATACAAATCGTTGAAGGATTCATGTTTATTACCTGAGGCATTTGACATGGAAAAGATAAAAGTAACTGCCTTCTGTATCTGCTTATGACTTCTTCTCTTATGGCACACAGAGATGTGCGAAGGTGAAGGAAATTAAATGTTGCACAAACTGCAAATTTGTTGAAAAGCCTCAATGTGGTAACATCCGAGCTCATTAAATTCTCAGTGATGCAGATTGTTTTCACTTAGTTTGTGCACTTTGTATCGGTATTAACTCGCTGAATCATCCACCTTCTGGTCTGAAATACTCAAACTCGAGAAGAATGACATTTTTTTTTAAATTTAAAAGATTTTGTTTAACACACATTGTAGATGTGTGCAACAAAACAACACTAATAACACTAATAAAGTATAACTGTAGGATCTGCGTTGAAGCTTTGAACGACATTCAGCTATAATGCATGAATGTGGAGCATTTGAACCCATGGATATGGATATGTAAGAAGGGTTTTTCTATCACAAATTAGGCCAACGAACAGTCTCTCTAGTGGGAAAAAAACCCTGCTATCTAAATTTTAAGGTTTGTTTTCCAGCACAAGTAATTAACGATAGAAATTCCTCTGCTTCTTTTAAGGTTCCCTCCCCTTCATCTTTTGCTTTATGTTTTGAAATGTAGGGATCCTTGGCTTAACATCAAGCTGGTTTGCTGATTAACGGGTCTGAAAAGCCACACTGTGCTATAAAATGCTGTTTTGGGAGTTGACTGACATATAGCCATATAGTGGTTTCAGCAAAAGTACTTTGCTGAGTACTTTGGCAGGTGTTAAATATCCCATTTAATTCCTCAATGTTCCCACCTGGATACACGTGTGTCCAGATAGGAAGTGTGTAGCTTGCCAGAGAATTTTTAACGCTCTACATTATCATCTTTAAGTTGTGTAGAAACACAATCTTCTCAAATGTGACTGTAGTCTCATTCTGATTTTGTCACATTTCAGAAATGTTTCTGTAACACTTGTTCTGTTTTTAGATTTGGATCAGGAGGGCATTTCTCTCTCATGCCTTTAAGGATAACCGCTTAAACCCTGGTAGGAGGGGAAAGTGTTAAATTCCAAACATGCCCAATACCTCCAAAGTTGACCAGTTAGGAAATCTTGTTTGTTTACACCATAAATAAAGAGGAAACTAGTTTGACACAGTCATTTCATTGCAGAAACAGACCTAGATAGGCCCCATTAGAAAGCTGTAACTCTTCCTAAAATATAAACTAAACTGAAGTAAAGAGAGAGGCATCAGCACGAAATCTCCCCCCCCCCCCCCCCCCCCCCCCCACACACACACACACTCAATGCACAGATGTGCGAGCCATTCCAGTTTTCTCATCTAACTCTCCTAGAAAGGGAGAATACATTCCTCAAAATTTAGATTTTTTTTTAATGTGTAACATTTGCTGCCATAATTATGCAGTTTCACTGATAAGGCAAAGATTTGAGTTTTACTGCAAATCTCATTAATGTGTCACAGTGTGCATGGCACTGGCTGACTTTGCCAACAGTTGTATTAAGGTCTGTGGGGAATTATGTGGCTGACTAGCTCTGCGGTTACTGCACCTAAATGAGCCTGTCACTAAAACTAGGTTAATTATAAATCACCCGGATGTAAGTTAAAAACTGTTAAGTATACTTAGTATGTCGAACAGCACATGTTTAGACATCAATAGGAAAATGATCCAGCTCAATTTGAAGCAGACCACGTTGTTGCTACCACTAGTTGGGGTGCCATTTGTTAATCGGCAAAATAATCATCCGTACTGTTTGCGCTCTCTCGCTATTGGCTGCTCTGTCTATGGTTACCAAGGTGTTCCTCAAATGCCCAGCGAACATTCTGGGCTCAAAAGTACAAGGTGATGTTGTTTTTCCAGACAATACAAGTCCTGAAAAAACAAAAAATAAAACGATTTTTGTTTTTTGTCACAGCAGTTTTTTTTAAATCTTTGGCAGCTACCAGTTTCTATGAGTATTTAACAGAGATTAAATTTGGTTTTTATTTTCTGTCTGAAATCTATAAGATAAAAATCAACTCTTGTATTTTGATTATTGAAATCTACTTTGAACATCACATGGTAGCATGACTCTGGAAATGATCTGGACAAAAATATCTTAAGTAATAGTTTTATCGCCTTATAAATGTAGTATCACACTTTCTTTCTTTCTTTCTTTCTTTCTTTTTTTTTTTTTTGAAAGACTGGGTATTAATTGCCTCACATTAGAGACCAAAGGTAGCAAGATAAAATGTCAACAGACATTTGTAATAAACATTCTTTTTATGTAGTTTGCATTTGAAATAATTAATATTTGTGCTGATTTAATTATTCCACATTAGTCAGCCTAGCAGAATGTACTTTTACCAGGGTTTCCCCGAAATACCACGCCTATGTGCTATTCTGTATCACAGCATGTTAATCGAGTTCTGCATTGTTAAAGCACACCATGTCCTGCTGAAAACAGCTTCTTCCGCCTCCATTTGAAACCTCCTGAGGTACATAACAACAGAAATCAGGGATAAGTGGTTGTTTTATACGACCTTGCTTTCATAGAAAAGGTCTTTTTTCTCTCTTTCATTTAGTTTTATAAACTATGGTTACTTTTCTATTCCCCCATCCACCTGACGATGAATGCGTTTTTCTTCTGACAAACTGAGACCTTTTTTTTTAAGTACAGGTCTCAGGAAAAACGTGAAACGGTTTCCTTCACTGCAGAACATCTTGCTCTCAGCCAGAGTGCAGCTAACACTCTGTGGGTAATTACTTTTGAAGGAGCTGAAATCACACAGGGTCCCGTGTGACCTGACATGAGTTAATGCAGTGCAAGAAGTTCACCTTTTGAAACTTAATTACCAATCGTTACCACTTTGTCACTCCAAATTATGCAGAGAGAAATAGAAACATAAAAATGTCTCCTGTTGTCCTTTTTGATTTAGTTGCAGTTGCAGTTTCTTTTTAGTAAGTTCCAGCTTGCAGGCTATTAGATGTAAATGATTGGGAGGATGTCTTATGAGGGTGGACCAACTGTTTTTTTTTTATTTTTTATTTTTATCCCTCTTTGAACCTGCTACAAGTGACATACAGCACGAATTTGTTATTGCTGATATAGATTTATTTCATTTGGCTATTTTTTATTTTATGCTTTAGCGGCACCTGCATCACTAATTTTGTCCTGTGCTCTGCCATCAAGTCTTTACAAGAAGGCGCTGTCCTTTAAACAATTTTCATAATTTTTTCAAGAAATCCCCCAAAAATAAAAAGAAAAGAAAAGAAAAGAAAGAGCAAGTCTGGGGGCTGAAACTCCTTGAACTGCCACAGGGGAAGCCTTTTTGCAGTAAAATGGGGTAAAAAGGGGTTTCCAGATGCAAATAATAACATTCAAATTGAACTTTCCCCCCCATTTTTTTTTTTGGACAAATTCATAAAGAGTTTGATTTTGATTTGAAGAAGTATTCTTGGTAGCGGATTCCTCGTCCTGCTGTGAGGCAGCTTCCAATCTAATGTGTAAAGACTTCCAGTTCACAGATGAGTTCATTGATGGCAAGTGTAAAACGGGCAGATTGAAAGTGACACATTTTCTTTCCTTTCGTACATCTGTCAGTTGGCTTAAATCTCAGTCTGAGAAGTACTTGCATTCCTTACATTGTTCAGTCGCAGTGTTTGTCTTGGATGGACGTCAGGAATAAGCAGCTGAGAAATCATTAATCTGTGCTATAGCAGATCAGTAAGATAAGTAAGCCTTCCTTCCTGTCAATGGGCAATTTAGTCTTCAAGCTAACCAGGTCTTTTCTTTGAGATCTATGGTGTGCCTGGTAAAAACTCATACCAGCACAACAAAAGGAAAGGGCTGCTTGTACCAGCGTTCAGGTTTCCAACCTTTATTTATACTGAGTTAGACTTATGACAACACAGACTGTAGAATTCAAGTTTTTGTATGTGAACTGAGAATATGACCATAATTCTACACTTTAACTCAAGATCAGACAACCAAGTTGTGACCATATTTCACAGACTTATAGGAGTCGATAATTGTAGTTTCTACTGAGGGGTGCAGGTTAGTAGGCAAACTTAATCTCATTTTATTCTAAATCTTTAAACATCTTTCTTTCTCTCGACAGGTAATGCCACCGTGTTGTGGTGCACCTGCTGCACAAACGTCTTTAAAACAGTGACCAATCGATTCATCAAGAACCTGGCATGGTCTGGTATCTGTGCCGGCCTGGTGTGCATCCCCTTTGATGTGGCACTCGGAGCCAATCCTCGGTGCTGCTTGTGGCTTCATACGCTGGTGCTCTGCAAAGCTCTCAAGTTCCTCCACAAACTCTTCTGCTCTGTCACCGTTCTCAGCTTCAGCGCCATCGCATTGGACAGGTAAACGCAAAAACATGATACTTTTCAGTGTATACACAGAATTAAAGTAGATAGGGGGAGCATCATTTGTTTTCAGTCATCAAGTGTGGATTGTGCGTGAAATTACAAAACCCAAAGAGCACTCTATCCTTTCAGTAAAATGAGTGATGTGTTTATTTTTTCTCACTTCAGGTTTGTAGCCAGAATCACTGTGTTTAAATGATGCTTTTGAAAGACACTAACATGCACCTCCTACTCACCTCTCTGTATCTGGATGGACCGCTTGGGGCAAAAAAAGTGGGTCCTTTACATCAGCTCTCTGATCAGTTTGTCAATATGTTGCTTAGCATAGTCAACTCGGCTAATTCTCTTTCTTTAAACACCTGGAAATCCAACTCTGAAAGATTTTTTTAAAGCAGAAAAACATCTCTACACCTTCTTTTAACACCCTGTTAAGAGGAGGTGTAGGGTTGTGATTGGTGGAGCGTGTGTCCTAGGCCTCCCAGTACCACTTTGAATTTGCTGAATTTGTAAGTTTTCTCACTCACAACTAAATGAATAGTCTCTCATTTTATGGTAGTTTCTTTTTAATGGAGAAAAGAAAAACTACCAACCAAAAATCCAGAAAAAAACATTACACAAAGATTACAAATTGATTTTCATGTCACTGACTGAAATAAGTATTTCATCCTCTAGCAAAACGCACCTTAGTACTTGGTGGAGAAACACTTTTTGCCAAGCACAGTGGTAAGACACTTCTGGTAGTTGGTCACCAGGTTGACCCTCATCTCAGAGGGGATTTTGGCCCACTCCTCTTTACAGAAACTCTCCAACTCCTTTAGGTTTCTTGGCTGTCGCTTGACAACTCAAAGGTTCAGCGCTCTCCACAGATTTTTCTACAGGACTGAAGTCTGGACACTGGTTAGGACTCTCTATGACCTTAATGTGCTTCTTCTTTAGTCACTCCTTTGTTAACCTGGGGTTAATGTTTGTAATTATCACGCTAGAAGACCCATTCACAGCTCATCTTCAGTGTTCTGGCTGAGGGAAGAAAATTCTCACTCAAAATGACTGTACATAGCCCTGTCCATTGGCAGTGTCCTCGATGCAGTGAAGTCATCTTGTACCCTTAGCACCTCCGTTCTTCACTGTGGGGATGATAGGGTGGTTTGGGGCATCCTCAGCATTTCTCCGCATCCCAACACGGCGGCTCGAGCTGATGCCAAAGAGCTCGATTTTGGTTTCACCTGACCCCAGGACTTTCTTCCAAGCCTTCTCTGAATCCTTTACATTACAGCGTAGTGTGTTACCAATGATGTTCTTGGTCCAAAATGCCTTGAGATCATTAACATGCTCGTCCTGTGTAACTCACCCCATGAGGCATGATTTGGCTCCAGATAGGGGATGATTGATGGTCATTATATTTCTTCTAGTTCCAAATAATCACACCAACAGTTCTCACTTTCTCATAAAGCTTCTTGCTGTTGGTCTCGTAGCCCATTCCAGTCTTGTGCAGGACTGCAATTGTGTCCCTGATGTCCTTTGACAGCTTGTTAGTGTTTCCCGTGGTGGTAGAGAGGTTGGAATAGAAGAAATTGATTCTCTGGACAGGTGTGGTTTGTACACATAAATTGAGATCAGGAGTATTTGTCATTGTTTGAATGATTGAACGCAATCTGTCTGCCACATTAGCACACAGACTCTGACTTGCTCGTAGGGGATGAAGTACTTATTTCACTCACTGATATGCAAATCAATTTTGAACCTTTATGTAATTTACTTTTCTGCATTTTTGTAAATGAGCAAACCTATAAAATCAGCAGGTGATAATTTTAATTATTTCCCCACTTTATCTCAGCTGAAGTGTTTGAAGCATATTGTTTAACTAGTTTAATTTTATTTTCTTATGCTATACCCTTTAATTAACCTTTTGCTTTCATTAATTATTGCAAGTGGGTGCTGGTTATGTGTATAATATTTCCTAAAACTGTGACTATTTCCTGTTGTGCACTTTGTCCATAGTTGACCTTTCTCACAGAATGTTCCCAGCTGAGTCTCTCAACATTGTACAGAACTCATGTGTAAAAATGACTGTAGTTAGTCAGTGGCTCTAATGTTTGTATTTTCTCCACACCAGTGTTGTTTTTGCTTAAAAAAAAGTCCAGTAAGAAAATAGAAAATTGGCATATAAAACAGTGGGCAGCCCAAGTACAGATGCACAGACTTATACGAAATATAAAAAATATACTTATACAAGTATTGAGAAAACCTAAAAGAGTTCCTTTTTCAGAATCGTATACATGACTTATTATTATATGATATTTATCGAATCATGTTTTTATCTCTTTGCATGTTGCAGCTTAAGATAACACAGCTTCTGTATGTAATGCAGAAAAAAATAGCAAATATCATGAATAGACATGTTCAAAATGGAGCATAAAAGTGCACAGAAGCCACATTTTTATTAATTTATAATATTAAAATATACCAGGGATAATATGGATGACTGCAGTAGTACGTGAATATCCTCTACCAACTTTATAGTGATTGCAGGGAGACTTTGTATTGATGCAACCTCTTCCCAGCCCTCGTTTCACTGCTATAGAGATTATGTTGCCTCCATAGCAACTGGTACAGTCAGAATGATATCAAACCAATGAATTATTTATTCTCCAGGAGGGTAATCGAGGCTGTAGATATTCTGTACACAGGTTGGGACTGCAGTGTACATACACACGAACACACACAATCATACTGCAGCACAGACAAGATAGTCAAGGGACATCGTAGTAATGACTTTTTCATTTCGTTTATTCTCCTTTATGAGTAAGGGAAAACAAAAGGATGTGAGGCAATCTGCATGCTATTATCTGCACTGCAGTTATCAAGATATCACCCATATAATTTTAACCTCTGCAGAAGTTAATATACCATGGATAAATTAAAATTCGTTGATCTAAAAAGGGCTAAATGTTCATGATTGAATGTATCCAAAGTGGCCACTAAAAATGGCACAATTGACTTTATTTTTAGATAACTGAGCTTTGTCCATTTCCTGTGGAATTTCCTGTTTTTCCTGTTTATAAAAATACCTCAAAATGGCTGTGACAAATAATAAGCCTGTGTAATACAATAAATATGTGAAGAGGCTGCAGGATAAATTTAGTAACTACATAAAAAAACTCCCAGAAAACTGCACCTCTCACCTTTTTGTCTATTTGGAGCTTGTATAATGGATTCAATAATTTTATACCAGCACTACCTTTCTGCTAAAACCCCTTCAAGCTCATACGTCAGTATTTTTAACGTTTATTTTAAAATAACTTTCACATAAATCACCATAAGATGGATTTCTGTGAGCATTTTCAGTACGCCTGGACTCAGGTGACACTCTGGCTTAGGAAAAAGCTTTTTTTTCACAGTGTGAACATCACCAAAACTATGCCTCGATTGATTTGCTGCAAGCTTTAGGATGTAAAAAATTCTCCACTGGGGAAAGCGCCCAACTTGAATGTTATCAGACCATTTAATAACCATTATCAGCTGTTATCAGCCCTGTACCTATTGCTAATAGATGCTCTCCTCTACAATCAGGCTGAGAAGGCAGTTAGCTACTGTATTACAGATTACATAGGAGAGCTAAGTAACAAGTATAGCTTAGTAACAAGTGCTTAGAGTTGTGAGTGGTTTATTTATTTTGTTGAACCAGAAGTCACAACTTTTTGGACGAGAGACTGCTAAATTAGCAGCTAACGCTAGTTGGCTTTGTCAGCAAGCTAGCTCCAAATAACTCAAAAGAAATTGCTTGTAAGAAATGTTCTAACACGAGGAACCTCAAACATGTGAGGCACTTGTGTAAAGTGGAATAAAGCCTTCCTCACAGCCTCATATGTGGATTCTTGCTTCTATTTTAGCCCGAAAACAGATTACTCATTACTTCTTCCATTCAGCAAGGCAAGAAAGCCTTCTCTGAATAAGCCTCTAGAAGGTGAAGTAGGAAATGCATAATGGACATTGAGTGGGTTTATCAAATATCAAATATCAAATACATGTTGTTAAGCATTGAATTACTTTGTCTTTCTATCTGTAGATACTACTCAGTGTTGTACCCACTGGAGAGGAAAATCTCAGACGCAAGATCTCGAGATCTGGTCATCTATATCTGGGTCCATGCAACTGTGGTCAGCCTCCCCGTGTTTGCTGTGACCAATGTGACTGATGTGTACGTGACCTCATCCTGCTCAAATGACCCCGCCCGCTCGCTGAGTCACATGGTGTATGTGTTGATCTACAACATCACCACAGTGATCCTCCCCCTGGCTCTGGTCTTCCTTCTCATGCTTCTGATCCGCAGAGCACTAAGTGCCAGCCAGAAGAAGAAGGTGATCATCGCAGCTCTGCGAACTCCCCAGAACAGCATCTCTATCCCATACGTGTCCCAGAGGGAAGCCGAACTTCATGTAACTCTTCTGGCTGTGGTACTGGCTTTCTCAGCTTGCAGCGCGCCCTATGGGGCCTTAGTATTTTACCGCACTATTTTGGCAGATGCTAAAGAGCTGCCTGTCTCACTGTATCTCACAGCCCTCTGGCTTCCTAAGGTATCCTTGCTCACCAACCCACTTTTGTTTCTGACTGTTAACCGCTCAGCGCGTCACAGCTGTCTGGACCTGCTGGCCAGGATTCACAGACGTTACAGCCGCCGTAACGTGGTTAGCACTGGAGGTCTGGCTTCTTTAGGAGCAGATGGCGTGATTGGGGAGCCAGTAGGACTGGAGACTGCTGGTCGATCTGGAAGCCAGCTTCTAGAGATGTTTAACATTGGCCAACAGCAGATCTTCAGACCGTCTGAAGAAGAAGAGGAGGAGGATGGGGAGAATGATGTGGAGATCCCATCTCAAGGATCAGGAGAAGGCTCAGGGCCCAAAGATGACCAGAAAGGTGGGTCAAGAATGGGAAGCCTCAGAGGTGAAGTGATTAATAAAAAGGACTCTCTGCAGGGCACAGGAGGAGGGCTGGTTATCACCAAGGAGGTCCCTCCTTCAGTTATAGCCCCCCGGGCCTCTCCAGTCCATACATGCGCTTATGCCTCTTCATCACAAGTGGCACCTGCTACACCTACAGAAGCAGAGGACTCCCCACAGTTTGGTTTTGGACCTTTTGAGCTGCCACCTCAGTGGTTACCTGAGACCAGGAATAGCAAGAAGAGGCTACTGCCACCGCTGGGTAACACGCCTGAGGAGCTGATCCAGACCAAAGTGCCAAAGCAGAAGCCAGAACGCAGGATCAGCAGGAACAACAAGGTCAGCACAATTCCCACCGTGGATCCATGAACTGTACCGTTGGCCTCTGATCTGCAACACTGGAAAAATCAGAACTCCTTTGGGAGAAGACAATGATGTCTGCATGGTTTCTTCTGGTTCCTTCTTCTGATTTGCAGTTGTAGCTCTTGTAGAAGTTCAGGTTCGACATTTTACTGCAGAAAAGCAGGTTCCCTGAAGCACTGTATTTCCATTTGTGAATCAATTTGATATCAATATAATATTTCTAGTCTGACAAATATGTCCATTCCATCCAATTTCACAGCTCTTCGAGAGGTCCAGTTTTATAATTAAGGATTTCCTCAGTGACTCCATGATGAAGGAAAATAGATACCTTCATAAATCTTTCTTTTTATTGGAGGTGACATCAGTAGTCAAACAACACTGTACAAATCCAATTATCTTGAGGGATGCACTGATAATGGATAATATATTTCCACAGCAAATAATCAAGCAAGCATTATGGACCTGCTAACAAAACAGTTTTTAAAAATAGTTCTAATCTGATTGCACTGTGTATATGAACACATCTCAGTGTTGGTCCTTTCACTTAACCCATTGTGGGACTTTTCTTTTCTATGTTTGATTTACAGAAATGTTTTGGGTATTGTCTGCTGCCTTTGTTTTTTGTCAAATTCCACTTTCTGAACATTTCTTGTAATGTCTTAGATGTTGTCGTGATTTTCACTTTCGATGTCGATGGTTTTCATAAGATTAAAACACTGGTGTAGAGTATGCAAATACATGTTTACAATGTGAAACAATCCGAGTTCAACTGTGTGTTCAGTCTTGGTTTCTGGAAGTGCATCACATATACTGAAATCTGCAGGTTCATGCAGAATGGGGATCTTTTAGCGACATTACATCAATCTTAATGATTTCTCACAGATTTCCTGAAAGTCAGTTGCTCAATTAAAATGTTGTATAATAATTAGGAGCAGAGATACCAAGTGCACATTTTATATCATCTGACGCTCTGTAAAACATGTTTCCTTTTAAATATCTCTGACTGACACTTCTGGCTCTGTCTCCTTTGTGATGCAGAATTCATCAGCAAAAGCTTTGACCTGCACCTTTGGCTGAGGTAAACAGAGCTGGGCTACACTTCAAATATTTGTCAAGCCGTAACTCCCTTCGGGGCTACCCACAATTCCTTGTTATGTCCACAGAGGAGCTGAATCTATGCTGCATCCTACCCATGCTGTTATCAGGCGAATCGTTCACTCATGCTTGACTTGAAATAATATCCACCGGTGCTACTTAAAAGCAAGAGAGAGATGAGTAATAGCTTTATTCAAATACACTGGATGCAGCAGTGACTTTTTGAGCGGTCCGGCTGTGTGTGGTAGTTGCTGTAATAGATATAGTGGATAAACCGAGCAGAAAATGTTATTCAGTGTTGCCAAAAGGAGAAGATTATTGATTGTTTCCTAGAATATTGACTTGTATTTCCCACCCAAATTGATTCAAGGCTTATTCAAAGACCCTAACCTGATTCTCTTGCAATGATCAAGGGTTTGACAACAGAAATATTGTAACTGTAAAAGGAGAAGTCACACTAAGGTTTAAAGTCTGCTTCCTAAACGAATACAGTAGTTCTTGACCTTGGGAAGGTCTTACCATCAGGTTGGTTAAGATGCCATTCTGAAGCTTTTGATCAGTGCCAGTAATGAATTTTTAGTTTAAGCTCTTAGGCTAACATGGCCCTGAAGAAGAAAGACAAAAAGAAAAACAGAGTTATGTAAATTCATGTCAAATATTAAATTATAAATCAAAACCCACAGAAAACCTCTTACAGAGTTAAATCAGTGTTAGTTTCCCTGTGCCTTGAGGCAAGTCCATGTGTGCACTGCATTTTGTAACTTGTAGAGTACCCTGCGTAAGTCTTGAGTCAGCCCCTCCCTTTTTTATATTTTGCTAAGAAAATGGGAAATGGGTGCAGTGATTTATTGAAACATTTGCAAACATAAATGGAAATATGGTATGTAAGGCAAAAACACAGTTTGCACAAATATAACAAGCTTGAAAATCAATATTTTACAGCACCACCTTTTATTCTTCAACCAGAGCCACTGACTGAAATGCAGCCCCAAACCATGACAGCACCTCCATCATTTATTACAGATGGCTGTAGACACTCAGTGTTGTACCTCTTGACCTCCTGTGTACAATGATTTGTACCGAGAAATTTAAATCCACCACTTCATAAGATCTGTTGTCACTGTGCAGTTCTTGTGAAATTTGGTATGTATCAACTTATTCTCCCCGTATCTCTTCCTTCCTGACTTCTTGACAGCCACCCTTCCACTGAGACCATTTCTTCTGTTGAGGCTTCAGTGAACAGTAGATGGATCAGCTGAAATGCAGATGAATCTCTCATGTTCAGTGTCAGGTCTTTGCTGTCTGCTGGGCATCACTTTCAGATACTATTAATCCACTGCAGATACTTTAGGCACTTGTAACTTCTTCTTTTGTTTTCCACTTATTAAATTTCATTACTTTTATTAAGGATATGCTACACACCAAGTTGAAAGATGCCACACTTTTGGCTAATAACTTTTTGTGATTCACCTTGTTAGTACAAGACCTCCCCAAACTATTAATCAAATATTGTTAAGTTCACCCAAAGAATTAGGAAAAAAATATATTTTTATTTAATCTAAATTAATTAATTAATTTACTTATTAATTTGCAGCTGGTTTCTGGTAACTAAGTGCCTAAAAATAAAACTTAAAATAGCTCATTTACTCAGTGTTAAGTGGACAAAAGAACAAAACAAACACAGAAAAAGAAACATTCCTTGGTCAATTTTCTGGAAAATTAGCAGGTCCCAGGACTGGACTGAAAGTGAAAAGCAGCCTGGAGAACTATTGTGCAAGACCATTTAAGAAAATTATGATAACATCTGGCTCGAGACCTTTGCACGATATTGGACAACTGCACAAAAATTTATAAAGTGACTATTTACTGTTTGAGTACTGTGTATCGATACACAGAGAGGTAATTTCTGCTTACTTAAAAAAATAACATAAAATAATTTAAACTTCTATCAAAGTGAAACCCAGTTTGTTCAAGTAATTGCTGGAAAATAAAAATGGCATAAGAGAGTGTAATACTGAAAGTGCTTCAAAGGCAGTGATTGACACTGAGGAGGATAACCTAATCTCTGACAGAAAATTGGGTCATGTTCTTGTGTGAGACGCAGCTAACTACCATTGCAGACAACTCGCAACTTAAAGGAAGCATAAAAATAGAACTGTCTGGCTGAAATCATCAGAAGGTTTTTCGTTTCTCATGGCCTCAGCTGGATTCATCATCTGTCAGTGGCTAATGCTAAAGAAGAACGGAAATCAAACATCACTTTTGAGAAAAACCATAAAAAAGTGTTCTGTGTCTTTGAATCAGATGCAATACCTTGGTGTAAAATTTACTGATAAGGTTATGGGAATAATTTATGTCATAGAGGAACTTGAAAACTGAAAAAAAAAAAACATACATGAGTGACACATGCAGAGAAGCTGCAGGTGTTGTGGTAGGTTGATGTGGCCCAAATGGGCCATGAAAAAAGTGCTTCCATCCAATCAAAAGAAGACATAGAGGATATTTTGTACCACTATCAATATGATGTAGGTGTGCTTTGAAATGTTGGCTTTCCCTTTGGTGTCCTCAGGCAACAAGATTTGTGCTCCATTTGTATTCTTTGGAAAATCCCCTCATAAGGCACCATGTACAGAGGACTCCTTGCACTTGCAGGAAAATACCAATATTTTCAGTTTACTGCTGCTGTGGCTGAGCTTTAGTCATGTTGTCAAGGATTTTGTTATTGTGACTAACGCGGTGGTCAATGTCTAGATGTATTAGAAGCAGTTCAGTGGATTACCACCTACATAAAAACTCTAATGTATTCTGTCATTCGAAAAGCTGCTGAATTTAGGCATGCTAACTAAAGAGTCCCCCCATCTTTTATTAGTCTGAAACTGTCTCTTGTTATGTGACTTGCAAAGATAGTTGAAAAAAACTAAGTAAAACATGCTTCAACATTTTTAATTACAGCAAATTATAGCAGCTGCAATCCAGACTGCAAAAGTTTAATCTTCTTTGCCGTCTTTGTAAGAAGGAGCACATGACAGATTTTTGAGTAACTGAAGTGAGAGAACAAAGTCTGTATTTGTTATCAGCTTTGGTTTATTGTAATCTAAGCAGGAATTGTCGTCACTGGTTACCGTCCTTGTTTTTTTTCCCTTTTGTGGAAGATAGTATTGGATTTTAGGTGCTGTTTACCAAGTCAGTGGGCACGATCAATTCGGTGGTGCCATTAAGAAGTAAAACCAAAGATAATGATGGAAATGCTATGACAAAGTAGCATGGAAATGTTGTTTAGTCATATAATTTTAAATTTGTGTATTTCATTAAAATAAACAGTGGTTATGTAGCACATTTCAAGATAAATATTACAAGGTATGTGACAATCAAAGACAAAAAGTTAATTTAAAGCAAATTTAAAAAGATTTAAAAAGCTTAGCCTACTTTTTAAGAGATCACTGAGCCCCCAGCTTCTGGGTTCACTGAGAGAGAGTTCAAGAAACTGGCAGCTACCGTTTTTAAAACTCTCTCTTCTTTAGTGCTATGTCTTGTATCATGCAAAGCCATCAGGTCCTAATCACTTAACCTCAGGGGACCTCCGGAGCATATATGGATGTAAAAGTTCACTGACCTAGAATTTCAAAGTGGACCCTGATTTTAATGGAGAGTCAGTGTAACAGAATTATCAAATGTGCGATACAAGGATTTATACGAGTGGATCAGAAGTCTTACAGTAGAACTTCAGATATTTTAAGGAGGTTTTGTTCAGACAAGTAAACAGAGAATAAATCTAAATAATAATATGAAATAAAGGCATGAATGAATAATCTCCAATTCAGAGTGTGATACAAAAGAACTCAACTTACCAATATTTTGTAAGTTTGCTCCTTCTTAAGAAAGACTGAGTCAAAAGTTCACTCAAGGTTCCTCATAGAAGATTGAGCAAATGTGTCAAGGGAACCTGGAGTTTCCATTACCTTGGGTTCAAGTTTGTTGGCGCCACAAACAAGGTCTTCTCATTTTTCTTCATTAACTTGACAATAATTGCCAACTATTCAACTTTTATTACAGTACCTATACAAGTTCTCTAACTAAGAAACGTCTTGGGTCTCATAAGAGAGAGATGATGTCACTTACATAGCAGCAAAAAGAAATGTCCTTCAGCGTGCTTGAAATGTGCTGGATAGGGATCTGGTAAACTCAAAAGCAAGCCCAGCTATACCCACCCAGTAACTCAGATAATCAAGCATAATGTGACGATCAACAGAGATAAGTATAACAGAGCAATGTCCTGCATCACCATACACCAAAATGTCATTGGAGACTCTAACAAGAGCAGTTTCAGAGAAATAATCACCAGAAAAAGATAAAAAAAAAAAAGATCAATAATGTTGTATTTTTCTAGAACAGTTGTAAGCTGCTTCTCAAAACCTTTTCTTGAAACCCAGCAATAAAATCTAATTATAAGGTTGGTATGCAACTAGAATTTTTTTTGAAACAGGATGATGCCATTCTTAAAATAGACAGGGACCTGACCAGAGTGAAGCATCAGTTATACTGAGCACACAGGGACTGATAGACTGAAAGGCATTTTTTGAACAAAGACTCAGGTAAAATGTCAAAGGAGCAAGAAGATGCTCTCTTGAAATAAAAAATGGGAGGACTATTATAAACTGGAACCTAAACAGCCAAAAGCAGAGGCTCTTCTAGCAGAAATATAAACCACCATCATATTAAATAAAATCAGTTCATGATTCCAAAAGGCTCCAGCTTAAAAACCAGTTTTACAAAGTCTGGTGTGGAATCGTTCGGCTGCACAGTTTGAAAGCCATAAGTGAGCTGCTGGTGAAGAGTAGAAACAACACTCTGACAACAAAGATAACAGGTAAGACTGTTTGAGGAGTTCACCAAGTCTAGTATAGTATTTTTAACAAGTCCTGCAAACTAAACAACAATATTACTTGCCTATAATGTTAGAAACTGTAGTATCTTTTGTAAAGAGATGATGTAGATTATAGTTAGGCAACAATCAGGATTTAGGTTAAAATATTCAGGGCTAATTGGCTAAGTGGTTAAGGGCTGATAGTGATCATCCATTAAAGAATCTTGACAAGTGGTGAACTAGACTCAATGAAATTAGTTTAAAATAGGCATTTTAATATGCAGGACTTTGTGGTCAGAGTTCTATTCACCAATCAGGTTTGAGCAGGTTGTTGCGTGCATGGAGGCAAACAGGTCATGAAGAGAGCAGAAAAGGGAATGCCCTAGCTGAAATGCAATCTTAAAACATCATCTATCATCTGAATAGTTGCTCATAGCTTTATTTAGAAAAAAACATGTAGTGGAAAAACTGAAAGTTGGCCTGTATATCCGCTAGCTACACTCGAAGCCCCAAAAAACTGTCCCTTGACCTCGGAGGCTAAGTCCGCAGACGAGCTGATGGGTTCCCAGAGTGGCTAAAATAGCAAACAGCAGACTTAAAACTGAATCCTTTTGGTTGTGTCACATCCCCAAACTTTATGCAACATCCCCGTTTGGGAAGAATGGTCTTGAATGGAATTTTGATGTTATTTTGATGATGTGCCATTTGTGCCATTTAACTGTTAATTCTAAACAATTTACACTGCTTGTGGGAAGTAATAAAAATAATCTTCCACAAGAAATAAACACTGACTATAAATAACACAAATAGCCTCTTGGGTCAAAGTCTGAGGGCATATAAAGGCACCAAACTACTTCTGCCTTTTCTTGTTATACACAGCTGGTAGTTTATGATGGAAAATGTAATAAATGGTCATAAGTTTACAAACGTCATCATGGGCATGAATGTTACGGTAATTGTGGACTTTTCTTTTCCCAGGGCTGAATGATTGTCCAGCATACATCCTAAATGACTTTTAAAAAAACCCCAAAAGACCCAACAAGAATTGGTTGCACAGTTTGGAATTTTTTTTTCCAATTTAATTCTAACCCAACAGGTAAATAAATATGCGCACAGAATGGGAATATTCTGGTTGGATGATTGACTTCTCTGCAGAGGAGTGGTCTAAGACTTCACTGAAATTGGTTGGTTTCCTGGAGTGGGCCTGGCTTTTTAGCAGTCCACAAATTTCCATTAGGCTTGAGGTCAGGCCTTTGGAAAGGTCATCTCAGACGCTTAATCTTAGCCTGCTTAAACATTCCAAACCATGATGTGTATTTGACATCATTGTCCTGCTGGAACACCTAAATTTATCCAGATTTAGGTCATCTAGCTGTTAATTGAAGCGGAAATTGAAGAATTTAGAGGTACTCCTCCTTCTTCATTATTCCATTTTTTTGTGCAACCTAACAGTACCACTGGCAGCAAAACGGCCCCAGAGCATGATGATAATCAGCATGCTTGACAGCAGTTACACTGTTCTTAGGTTTAAAAACTTCACCTATATTCCATATTCCAAATACACCTTTTGGTATTATGGCCAAAAAGCATTTCCAGTTCATGGCAGGCTTGAAACTTTTGGTGGTTCCTAGGTTATTCCTGAACATACGACC